CGCAACCCTCAGTGTCGCCCCCGTACCGGACCGGGACCGGCAACGGGATTGCAACCCTCGGTGCCGCTCCCGCGCCTTGCTCAGCCAGTGAGCGGGAACCGGTCTGTATGTGGGATCCGAACCCTCGGCGGGAGCGCCGCCACACTTCCCAAGCGGTGCACTATAGCAGTGCGCCACCGGGCCGGCCCCAATATAGGTTATTTTCTTTAACACTCACATTAACACCATAAGATAACTGTGTTGTCCTCATTTCACATATGGGGAAATTGAGATTCAGAGGAGTTAAGTTTCCCAAGAACATAGCAGATAAAGGACAGAGCTGGGATTCATTACAACTTCAAAGCCCGAGCACTTTGGAGGAAGAGATATCATCTTTGCCCTGGGGGTCAGTATCTGATCTGATGAGAATGTAAGAGCCAGGACCAAAACAAGACAAGAACAAGAGATGAGAAGTGATAATAACCAATACTTCCTGGATGCTTTGCTAGGTCTCAAGCTTTGCTGCACCCTCTTACATTGAGTCTTCAAAACACTAAAATGAAAGCTGCCTGAGGACAGAGACTTTGTCCCTCTGGTTCTCCACTCTATCCTCAGCCCCAAAAATTGTACCTGCCTTGAGATAGATACTCAATAAATACTTGATGAATAAAGCAGCTACGCTGTGAGTAGGTACTTATAGCCTCCTTTTACAGATGAGTATACAGATTCAGGGCTGTTGGATAACTTGTGCTACCAAGGTAGAGCCAGGATCCAGACCCAGGCACTCTGGCTCCAGAGCTTGCATTCCTAAGTACTGGGTGCTCATGCCACGTGTGCACATGCTAAGGGGACATAGAATGTGACATGTGCCTCCTGTGGGGAAGGAACTAGCCAACAGATAGCTGAGTTTCTCCTCTCAGGCACTTAACCCTCCCTTTCTTCTCAGTGTTTTTCTCGGACAGATCGATTACTCAGACACAAACGGATGTGCCAAGGGTGCCAGTCCAAGACTTCCGACGGGCAGTTTTCTCTATAGGCGCAAGGGGCCCTGGGTGGTGGGAGTGATCAGAAGAATCTACCGAAGAGCGCACTCCCTCTGGTCTGATGGTCCCACCACCACCCCGTCTGAACCTGTCCCCCTCCTGGAGGAGTGGACCCAGGAGACCAGAAGAGTGCATCAGGGGACAGTGGCCCCAGAGCCTTAGCTCTGTAAATAATCTGAGACAATGAGTATCTCGGGCAAGTTCCTACAGCATTCCTGGGTAGGGAAGCTAGTCCCTGGACCCATGGCTGAGGTCATAGGTGGGGACTCAAGGTACAGGACCAAGACTGAAGTGTGGCTCCCACAACCTTGGACTCCAGCTGGCAGCTGAAATGGAAAAGATTGGGGAAAGGGATTTGTTTGTTCTGTTCTTGTTTTTGTTTTTGTTTATCCAAAAGCAATTTCAGCAGGTAAACTGGATATAGGTAATTTGGAGGCATAGAGTCCTGGTCCAAAGCAAGGACTATGGCTGGTCCAGCCCTCTCCTAAAATTTAGAGTTTTTAGTTGCAATAGATATTCAGTGTTCTACAGCCCTGCACCTCACCTCCTATTTGAGGGAAAGTAGGATCAGGGATGGCAGTTGAACTTACTTTCGTCTCCTTATACACTAGGGACAAAAGGAAAAATAGTGGGAGGAGCAGACAAGGGCTGGATCCAAGAAGAGTGGACAATACCTCTTTCTTCCTCAGTGGAAGAGCAAGAGTTGTACCCACGGGTGTAGTAATGGCCCATGCCACAGTGTACCTGATGGGGTCAGCTCAAGTGCCTTTTGAGGAAACTTGAGAGTGGCCCATAAAGCCCTTTCCTTCTCTCTTTGGGCAGTTGGTCTTGGAGATAGTTTTTGGCTACCTCACTGTCATTGACTCCTTAAAGCCAGACAGAGGTGTTGAGCAGGGAGTCATGGATGTCAGAGTTGGGGTTCTCTCTCCTTGTGGCCTCTTAGGAACAACCCAAGACTAATCCAAAGTTGGCTAACACCTATTCGGGAAGCAAAGGAATTTGGAGTCCCCTGGCATGACAGTTGAGCAGTAGGAACTGTTCTTCCTGCCCAAGTCCTATCACTGTATTCAGGTAGAGGAGATAGGGGTCTGGCCTTTGGTCCCAATGAACAAGATCTTGGCTTCCTTCTTGATGGCCATCCCTACCCAACAAAGAATGGAGGGGGGAGAGATGCTGCAGAGAAGGGACTGAAGAAGAAACCTAATGTAGGTTCTATTCTTAACCATATTCTTTACTCCTCTCTGCTCCAACAGCATCACCCTGTCTACCCCCCAAAAAGTGATCAGAGGAGGTGTGCGTGCGTGTGTGTGTGTGTGTAAGTGTAATATGTGAGTGCCCATGTGAAACAGCATATTATTGAGCCAAACCCTTCTCTGGCCCTCAACTTAGTGGGGATGAGCGTAAAACAACCTCCTCCTTCCCAAACCTAAAGGGTGCTTGAGTCCCAGCAGGAGCTGAGAAACTCAATTTTGGGAATAGGAGGACTTTGTTTTGGCAGAGTTTTTTTTCTTTTAGACTGATTCAACAGGCTAGTGGTTAGGGTGTTTCTAACCCAAGCCAGGACTTGTGAAATGAATTCCTAAGGTGAAATAAAAACCTTCTTTCTTCAGCTAAAGAAAGGATCCTTATGGGGGGTTGTGGGGTTTGATTAACCCCCACTGTGGCCTGCCCTGACCTGTGGCGGGTGGGGAAGCTGTCTTAGGCATAATCACGGAGACTTGGTGAACATGGGCACCAAGCTGTTAGTGGGGATCTGAGATGGCAACCTCCAGGAAGTGTGATTTCATTTCTCAGAAAATGTAGGGAATAGGCGGCAGTGGCAGCAAACTCCTAGCAGTAACCTGTTCCAGAGGGGAAAAGGGGGAGTATGGGTCCTCCATACCTCTGAGGTATGAGTATTTCAGGGAAAAGAAAGGAGACATGGCACCCTTTCCATTTTCCCTGACAGCATTTGAGATCCCTTGCAGGAGACGCTGAGGAATGTCTACCACCAGGTACTCTTCTAGCTTTATGCTGACACTCCCACTTGGTGTGGTCCAGAACCTCAACCTCAGTCCTTGGATTGCCTTGTGGTCCCTGCAAGCAGGGGCATCTTTCTGCATGTGAGCCAGACCCTTCCTGTTAGAGGGCTCTGCTGAGGCTGGAATTTTTTCATCATTCACCTCTGGGAAGGAGGATACATTTAGAAAACTTTCCTCGCAAAAGTGCTTTTGAAAATGGGAGGCATCTCTCCCTGCTTCTTGCAGCTAATCTGTTTGAGATGGGGGTGTGTGTGGAGAGAATTACATGAGTGACCTATGTGCCTATGCGCACAAGTGTATGTACTAGGTTAGCATGTGCCCTGGCCCCTCCCAGACCTCTGCTTCCTGCCTGCCGGGGCAAGGAGGGGGAAGGGGGGAACACTTCTGTATGTATGAATGGCCATACCAGAACCACCCCTGCCAAGGACTGGTTGTGGGGGAAACTCAGGAGCACATGATTAGTTCAGTTCTGGGGCAATGGATGTGTGAGGAGAGAGGAGCAAAAGGGTGAAAGGAGTGACTTAGCACCCAGAGCGCCCAGGAGCCCCACTTATACCCCAGGGAAGCCACAGACTAAGACCGCTCCAAAGGCTTCTGGGCCCACTGCTCCACCCATCCTTTGCTGGGGTGGGGCCTAGCACTGGAAAGATGCCTCAGGTGTGTTTGAAGTAGGAGAAATGGAGATAGGGCAGGCTCTCAGACACCAGGATGTGGAATTGGGGGACCTGGGAAAGAGTAGTGCCAGTTCCTTGGTGGGCTGCTGCACCAGGCCCTACCAGCCCTGCCCTTCCCAGCACCTCATTTCTTTTCCGTCCACCCCCAGCAGCCTCTTGTCATCACTTAGCTACTGATTGTGCCCCATGGCTTGACATTGGAGGGTTAAATGAGTGGAGTCCCACTACAATATTTAACCCTGTCTCCAGATGCTCTTTGCCTTTACTCTGGCCCTGGGGCTTTTATCTTCAACAATCCCCCTCCTGCCCCTCCTCTCCACCCCCTTTTTTTTTTTTTAAATATACTTATTTTGCTATTGGGGAGGGGAATATCAAATGAACAAGATCACTTTTAAATGGTAGTTTTTATAAGATGTTATAAACTTGTATCTTTTTACCATTAAAGTGCAGTGTATGTTCCTTCGTGATATATTTAGGATATTTAAATAAAAAGAATATGGGGCTTTTCTACATACTATCTCTTTGGGAAGAATATCCTTTGGGGAAGCTTTTTCACTGGAGGCCAGAGTGGTTTTAGTGGTTTTCCATTTTTCCCCTTAATATGACCACCCCACAACTTCCAGCACCCTATAAACCACCATTTTAAAACTCCCTGTATTAGTCCGTTTTGTGTTGCTATAATAGAAATACCTGAGACTGGGTAATTTATAAAGAACAGGTTTATTTGGCTTACGATTCTGGGACAGCTGCATCTGGCATGGGCCTCAGGCTGCTTCTACTCATGGCAGAAAGTGGCAGGCAGCCAGCGGGTATGAGCAGATCACATGGCAAGAGGGGGGGAGAGAGAGCATGCGCACGCGCCAGGGTCTTTGTAAACAACCAGCTCTCTTGCAGGAACTAACAGAGCGAGAACTCTCATTAATCCCCCAGGGAGAGCATTAATCCATTCACGAGGGATCCGCCCCCATGGCTCAATCAGTTTCCAGCACTGCCACATTCAGGATCAAACTTTTACATGAGTTTTGGTGGGGACAACACATCCAAACTCTACCACTTCCCTTCTCCATAGAGGAGCAACAACTAGACATAAAAGCAGGACATCAGTTCTGAATGAGAGAAAAAGCATGCCCAGAAGGACACAAGGGGGTTAGGTTCCAGCAGATGCAGTGTTTCTCAAAGTGTAGCCTCCTGCGTAAGTGGCACCTGAGAAGTCACCAACCTGCTCCAGACCTGCTTCCCAGACAGCACATCAGGAGTCTCTTGCCTCTCCCTGCCCTCAGGTGGCCAGAGGAGGAATGGACATGAGCTTTCCTGAGACCCAGGCCAACAGCCTGCTTTAGCCTTGGTGGGGTGAAGCAAAGTGACAGCTGTGGTCTGAGGTAAGACTCTTTATTGTATATTTGTAAGACTCCTTGTGAGGTAAGGAAGCAAGGTGGCAGCAGTAGGAAGCAGCCCTCTTGGGTGTCACTCTGAAAATGAATAGGGTGGTAACCACTCCTCAGCAGTGGATTAATCCCCTGCCAGTCTGCTGCCTAATAGACAACCCACCCCCACCCAGTTCCCACTGCCCTCTCAGAAAGAAGAGCTTTGGGATAAGTGTCCCTCCCCTGCTTCACAGAGGAGGACCTTCTGCCTCTTGAAAGTGGGGATTGATGGTTGTGGTGATGGCGCTTTTGTAGAGAGGGTTGCTGTCCTGGGGGAAGAGGTTGCAAATTATAAGGAAAAATTCCAGGATTCCTCCTCCCCTTTATTTAGTCCTAAGAGGTCAGCTTAGAACTGAGCATGATCCTAGGAGCTGATTGGGGGTGGGGGTGGGGGGGCACAAGGTTGGAGGAGACCCAGCCAGGGACAGCAAACAAGGAAAACCCAGCCCAGTGAAGTAGGAGAGTGTCTCTTCACCTGCTTCCAGTTGAGTTGCTGCTGCTCCTTCTCAAAGCGACTGTATTCCCGCCGGTCATATATTTCCACTGAGAGCCGATAAGCCAGGACCAACCCCAGTCCTACTGCCACGATGCCCCCTATGCAGCCCAGCACAATGGCCTGTGTGTGGTCTGCTCCCTCTATGAGGGAGGAACAGAACACCCTCTTCAGGAGACTGGGGCATAGGGACAGAGCAACAGTTGCCTGCAGTTTGTCCAGCCCCATCCAGCTTCCCCAACCCTATCACTGAAAGCAAAGGGAATCCAGCAGGGTCTAAAGTTATCCTCAGTGCCTAGGGCCTTAGTCTTGTCCACTTGGCCCATCACTTCTGCTTCAACCCCCAGCCTGGTTTCCCATTACCTTCACCTCCCCATCCTCAGAATTCTGATGCCCTGCCCATCAAACTTCCAGGGCTCCCATTGGGCATGTCAGTGGCATCCCTGCCCACTTACTTTCTGGGGGTCTCACTCTCAGCATGACCCTGCCTCCAGCCTCATTCTCCACCAGGAAGAAGAACAGCTGGTTGTCCAGAGTCCTCTCTTTGCACCAGCCATCATCCAAGATAGGGGCCAAAGCCAAGGTCACATTGGCATGGGCACAAGCCGTGCTGCAATTGGTGGCCAGGGGACCAGTCCCAAAGGCCCCACATTCTGCACAGTCCCTGTCCAGTGGATGCCAATAAGTTACCAGCTGGGCAGTTGTCACCCATTGGCCTTCACCCATACCACATGCAGGAAGGAAGCAAGCAGACAGGAGTGGCTCAGCAAGCCCCACTGTACCCTTGCTCCCCAAGACCTGAAGTCTCACCTGTGTCTCTCACATGGTGTCTTGCAGCCTGGGCACTGGTCACACAGAGCACCATAGTAGCCGTCCAAGCATTGGCAGCGGTTGCATTTGCAGTGTCCGTGCCCACTGCAAAGCCCTCCCTCAGGACTGACACAGCTGTCCGTGTCCCCACTGCATTCGCATGCTCTGCCCGTGCGGTTGGCGTGACAGTGACACACTCCACATTGGCAGCGGCCAAAGCCTAGAGCAGAGCCATGCACAGGGTGATAATCATACTCCACACACACACAGTTGGCTGTTACAGTCCCCTGTGTTCAGTCCCTCTCGGGTGTGCAAGACACATCCCTCTAACCTCTGTGACCCCACCCTTCTCTCAGAGGCTCCAGGTACCTCCACAAAGGATGCCCTTGTGTCGCTCGCAGCTAGCATCATCGCATTCGCACAGGCGCCCGGAGCTGTGGCCACTGCAGCTGCAGCGTCCGCACTGGCACCGTCCCTTCCCACTGCACAGGGGCCCTGTCGCATTGGGGGCCCGGCACCCAGATTCCAGATCCAGAGAGGACAGCTCAGCCTGAGAGCACTCACAGAGCCTACCCAGGCGGCCAGGGGCACAGCTGGAAGGGGAAGGCAGAGGAGAGAGAAGTGGATCAGAAAGTTTGACCATCCCAGACCAGTCCCTCCTGGACCTTCTAAGCCCAAGTTCTTGAAAGAGCTGGAGGGAGACACATGGCTGAAGGGATGCCAGAGTACACTGGAGCACTAGGGGCAGAAAAGCAAAAGGACTTCTGGTCAAGGGGAGGGCCTGGGCATATCTGGGAGGTTTCAGGGGATAAAATTCAGGCTGGAGTCTTGGGGTCTCTAGAAGACTCCAGTGGAAAGGTGGGAAGCAGAGGAAAAGGAATACAGGATTGGTTATTTGTGGGGAGCCAGATGGGTGAAGGGAAGAAGAGGCCCTCACCTGCATATACCACATTGTAGGTTCCCCTGGCCATCACTGCAGTGGGGAGCCTGGGGCTGGGTGTCACTGCAGTTACAATCACACAGTGTGTGCAGCTCTACAATCAGCTCCTCTGAGAAGCCAAGGGCCCGGAGCCGCAGGAGATGGGGCTCGAGGAGACAATCGGTAGCTTGGAGAGTAACCCAGAAATTCACCTGAGGACAGGGTGGGCAGGAATCAAACCTAGAGTATACACACACATCCCAAAAACCTGTGATTATCCAGAACTTACCCCTCAGTAAATTAAAGGATAACACCCATTCCCTAGAAACACACTGGTGGAAGTCCCTCATAAAACCCCTCAGAAAGGACGGATGGAAGACCACCCATGCTTTTGCATTGTTCTCTGCACCTGCCTCATCTTTTCCTGCCTGCTTCAATTTCCCACTCCCAACCCCCACTTCCTTCCTTTTGCCTATCCTAGCTGGTTCTCACCGTCTGGTTGACTCGGACATGGTTGCACTGTCCTCGGTCCCCAGCCTCACCCTCCTTCTTCTTAGGACCCCCACACTGGGATTCGTAAGAGATGCGGACCCCATGAGGGAGTTTAGAGTGTTCGAGGGTCACGGTGGATGACAGACTCTGTGAAAAGAGAGGGAGTAAGTAACCTCGTGAATGCAGGACCCCAACCCCACCTTATGCCCTCTCCAGTTCTCAGTTCCACCAGAACCCTGCCTTCTGCTGCCCCTGACTCTTTCCATTCTGCCCAGTCAGGAGGCATTTCTGGAGGAAGGACCTGTGAGAACCTTGAGTGGAGTGCAAGGGTTCCAGAGACCTCTAATACAGCATTTCAATACGGCTGCCAGTGAGGGCTGCTGTGGATCAAGGAATGGCCAGGCGCTGAAGGTGTGCAGTGACCATGTTTGTCAAGCCCCAAATCAGGACACATAAGCTGTGTGGCCTAAAGGGCAGATTCATTGAACTGTTTGTCTTAGGAAATTTGATACTGTCTCAAATTTTCTTGCCATGGGTTTGGGACATGGTTCCTGTCATCAAGAAGCCTACTATAGTCTAGTTGCAGAGATAAGACCTAAACCCAAGAAACACTTAAAAATGTTTATGGTTCCTTATACCTGAAAAATTTTATGGTTCTTGTGAAGAATATCTCTGAATTGTTTATAAACTTAGTTGGATCTCACATTCTCTATGTACAGACTGACTGGGGATAAATGCCAGCCTTTCCATTTGTTTTTTGTATGAACTTGGGCAAGTCACTTAGCCTCCTTGTGTCTGTTTCCTCATCTGTAAAATAGGAATGATGATAGTTATGAAGCAGAGATTTTGGTGGGCCTAAATGAAGTAGGAAACAGTGCATGCACCTAGGATGGTACTTGGCATGAAATAAAAGCTCAATGAATATAACTTTCCGGGCCGGCCCGTGGCTCACTCGGTAGAGTGCGGTGCTGATAACACCAAGGCCGTGGGTTCGGATGGCCGGTTTGCTCACTGGCTGAGCGTGGTGCTGACAACACCAAGCCAAGGGTTGAGATCCCCTTACCGGTCATCTTTTAAAAAAAAAAAAAATATATATATATATATATATATATATAT